GGATTTCGAGAATTGTTTCCACATGATATATATTCGTCAATGAAATTTATAACATCTCGCATTGAATTATCATCATTTGCTTCGTATTTTGGTGCATTATTACACCATAAAAGTGCATGAGTGTGAACTGTTCCTCTTCCCTGAAACTCTTTCCGAATGAAATAATCAATTACGAAGTGTTGTTTGAATGGACCATTTGGATTCTTCAAGATTGTTATGATTTCACGGAATCTATTGTCAAGATAACGAACTACAGAGACAGGGTCATCCTTAATTAATTTATTTTTTACATCGTCATCAAGGAGTAGGGCTTTGTTGAGACTTATTTTTTCATTGTATTTCATTCCATACAGGAATTGTATTAATTCGGGACTGTTGGATTCGGATGCAGAAAGAGTCAAAAAAAATGTTGGTGTACCTAACTGACGGATCATTGCACGAACGTTCTTCTTTTTTGCTTCCCAAAATGCAGGAGACGGCCGTACAGTTTTGAGAAACGAATAACCGTCATCGTGACGAATAATATCTCGCATGTAATCTTTATCTTTGACTTGACCAACTGTCAGTTGATTATTTGGCTTCATTCTCCTCAAACATGTGTTAATAGTTGACATTACGGTTTGCTCGAGTTTTCGTTTCGCCATAAATAATAAGCGAGTCGGTTCACACGATCTTCGGTCTCTATTTCGGGCCTCAAATTTTACTCTCTGGCAATAATTCAATTTTTTATTTTCATCAAAGATTTCACCTAGGAATATTCTTGGGAAACTTAATTCATCGATGTGTTCAATCATATGCCATGCAACTGGGCGATTATTTTCACATGGGGCAATGACACGTGATTCGAAGGACAGTTCTTGATTCTCGTCAATAATTAGAACTTCATCTTTATAGGGATTCGATATTTGTTCATCGCAATATAATTCATCCTGTGAATCAGAATCACTAAACTCATCATTACATGAATCATCCGCAGGAGTCGAATCCTCGTTTTCATAGTTTTTTGATTTTTCGGATGATTTATTTTCAGTGTCTTGAACTTCGTTATCGACAACGAAATTCACGTCAGAAGTATCATTTCCGTCGTATTGTTCGAAAAAAGTTTTATCTATCATTATTTTGTTCTTTACATATAGAGGTGCATTGATGAGGTATTGTAATGCAAGACATACATTGGAGGGTTTTATAGTTTCATGCATATAATTTGATTGATGATTTAAATTACGCTTAAATTGGATCTGGACTGTTGACATGTTATTGAATTTGCGAGGGAGCACATTGATCATGTCATTAATCTCGGCTTGTACATTCACTACACTTCCGTGAATTGATAATTGGGGATTTTTAAAGCAATGAGGTTTCAGAGCTCTTATTTGCATGAAAGGTACGTATGGCGATACCATACGTTCCTCCAGAGGGGAAAGATTCTTGACTTCATCTGGTAAAATGGGAAATTTCAGGTCAAAAGCACATGTTTTTGGGATTATCCCTTTCGATATGCTTTTGCTACAATTTTTACATATATAATTCGATGAATTATTCTCTATTTTATCAAAGAATGACTCCTGATTATTTATATTTCTTTTAATCAAGTTTGAAGAGAGCAGCATAGCAGATTTTCTGTATTGTAAGACTGATTTTTGGAAGAATAAATTATCGCAGCAAATACAAACTATATTAGGAAAATTCTTACGATTTTCAATGAAATTCTTGATTAATAAATACTCTTTTTTTTCGAATCATCTTCCTGTTTCAGTTGCGAGTTGATAAGTTTATTATAATCCTCGCGAAATTTAAGTATGCTATTTGCCCGACAAGATTTTCTATTCTTTGCATCAATTATTTTTTCACTGCATCTGTAGTTCGAGTTTTCTCTTTTTTTCTTTACCCTTTCATTATCTCTAGCATTTTCACGCTTATGAAAATTATTGTTCTCACGCAGATTTCGGATTCTGTCTCGATTTTTAATTTTTTCTCGCGTTGTATATTCTTTTTTTTTTTTTTCCATGCTCTCTTTCCATTTTTCAATGCTGTCTGCAGAATCATTTGGACTTAATTTGTCTGTTGCCGATTTATTTTTTGGTGCTGAAGTCATCTTCCCACGCGTTACATATTTATCAGTATCTTTCCGAAGGAATTCAATTCGCGATTTATTCAACAGTCTTTCCCTGAGTGTATAAATTGGATTCTCTCTCAATTTTTCCATTCTCTCAGAATTAATCAAGTTTTTCTTATCATTATTATGCATTCGCAGACGTTTTGAACGCATATGAGTAGGATCAGACTTTTCATCACCTATGATGTCGCTCTCCTCGTCATAAACACGTTTCTTCCTTACTTGATGTGGGTGATTTTTCGGGGAAGGAGGGGTCTGACCTTGATATGAGGCCTCATCGAGAGGAATTGAAGAAGAATCATTCCGTTTGACTCGCAGCGTTAGGGATTTCGCGCGTAGTTTGGCCTTGTATGATCCCATTCCATTTATTAACCCTTTGTCTTCATCTTTAAGTGAATCTGGCTTTTGAAATTCAGGGACGGCAGATGTCATGAGTTTGTCACTGTTTGTAGAATCAGTATGTGTCGCTCCTGTTCGATTTCGACGTACACGTTGCCTCTGTTCTTGTCGTTTGAGTTCGAGACTTTTTTTCTTCAATCTTGGCATTTTATCAAAATATCTATTGAAAGAGGATAGGATGACATGCCGAATCATGATGGTATCAGTGAAATTGTATTTCATATTGAGTGAATGTCATCTAATTAGGAAGGTCGGGCAAAGCTAGAATAGATGGCAGTAGGGATCAACCCATACACGCCCATGTACCAAACGCTTTGGAAAAGGATGGTTAAATGCATGCTATCGTCGTCTGACTCATTGAACAGGATTTCGCTCCCTGGCGCCATTAGTACCGCCACTGACCACCGACCTTCCTAATATTTTCCACAGAAATCAGGCGGGAAATTAGAATTTATTCTCTCCGGCAAATACTTCTCTTCACATGATTGAATTTGGGTTAAATAGTATCACTCATTCATGTTTGCTATTCGTATGATGTGCAATACTCACTGTAATTGCTCTAGAGAATGATAAAATAGTGATGAGATTCATCAGTTTGACATAATGGAGCCAGTGGCTGCGATTGTGTTGATTCAATGCAATCAGTGAAAGGCTTATTATAATTCATATTTTGGTTACATGAATGTGGTGTTTGACGGTACGGAGTGAAGTTTGATTGATGAGAAAAAAAGAAACAACAGATAGAGAGAGAGAGAGAGAAAAAGAGAGAGAGAGAGTGAGAGAATTTGACTTCAAAAGTCACTGACGTTTTGGAGGTTTTCCCAGAGAAAATACAGATATTACTGTGCTATCATCATTAACGTGAATAACAGCTGAAATAATGGAGAACTTGAGTGACTGTGAGGAGAATTTATTAGTAAAATAATGATTCAATTAATATAATTGTGAAATTAAATTTCAAGAAGACTTTGACAAGCTACAAACGAGATCTCGAATATTACGGGCTTCAAACTATGACGAGAGGAGGAATAGACAAGTAGATTTTAGTGTAATGTACAGAGAAATTGGGTTTGGCAATTTATTTAATCGCCGACTTATGGTTTTTGTTATTTTACTTCTGTTGTTGATTGTAAGAAGTAATCAAGTTTTGTCATGATGGAAAGTGTCCACATTAGATTCTACAGACAGATATATTTACATTTAACGATAGAATCATGTCCACTCAAAGAAAATACCTTAAAATGACGCAACTTCGAAAATTCTATTCCTCTCCTGTCCTCCTCCTGACGAACATAATCTCTCACGTTATTTTTTTCTTTCTCTAATATTTTGAAGAAAATAGTTTTACTAAAGTTTATAGGGAGAGAGACACATTAATGGAATTCTTTTTTTCAGTACTCAATGACGGATGGGATGAAGCACTCATTAAAGCTCTGGATCACTATGAAAAAACAAGAAAAATGGCAGATGCGAAGAATAACCCAAAAAATCTTAGAAGGTATTCATGTAAAAAAATCGGATGAATATTAAAATTTGAACGCTCGACTTTTGACTATTCTAGGGGACGTGGAGCTATGAATAGTCGCAATGAAGGGAAAAAGAATTGAATAAAATTCGGAAAGCATGAAGTCGAGGAACTACTGCTGATTTTTTTTTAATTATTCAACTACTGGTGATGAACCATCTGGGAAATATTAATAATTCTCTGGAAATATTTTCGATAAAAATATTTCAATGAAAACCTACATAAGATAGTATATTAAATATAATTCTGGAAAGACTGGATACAATAAATTTTGGAAACTATCTACGGAAATTAGTTTGAGTCTTATGAATATTTCAGGTATATTATCAACGTATGGATGAACGGCACAAAGATTTCCTCTTCTTCCTCTTCACTTTCTCCTCTTCTTCATTTCTTTTCAGTTTCAACAAGAATGGGAGGATGTCACAATGAAGTATTGCCGCACAGAAACAGAGAAAAACGATAACATTGAATTTGAAGAGTTTAATTGAGGAGTGTTATTTAATTATAATGTCCGATTTCCAATGCTGGATTTTCATTCGATTTACGTACGATAGTTGGGGAGGGAATTGTTCCTAATGATCCGGACATGGTTCTCTAAATAAAAAATATATATGCAACTTCAGTAGAACTCGTCCAGTAACGAGTGGTATTTGGGATAGTTTGGCTCCTGACGAGAGTAAAATATTCGCGAATCATGTAGAGATAGTAAATCTGAGAACTGCTGTTTTTTTTCTGAGTGTGTAGATGCATTCATAATTCAGGGATATCTCCATCTGGCAATATTTCATGATTTCTTTCGCTAAGGTAAGAATTAAACAAATTGACGTTACACAACCAGAAATTAATAACATAATGAAGTTGTCAACAAGTTTTCAAGGCTACTGAAGACTGTAGACATGAAAGGAGCATCAAATATTACCATAAATTATTCAACGTAGGAAGTGAACAAGGAATAAAATGGCAAAGAATTACACGGATATATATGCTAGCCTCATCTACACAGCTGATGACGCATTTAAAAAAATAGGATGGTCACACAATTTGATGGAACAAAAAATTGGTAATTTGAATTGATTAATTGATGAAGACACAAAATAGAAAACTCAGAGGTTAAAAAATTTTCGTTTACTTACTAATCTTATTTACTTGTATTGTCAATTGTGAATTACAGATTTCGAGGAGACGAAAGGAGATAAATTCAATGTGGGATGCTCGACGGTAATAAAAATTGGATTAAAAGATGGACGCCAGCATTCAGATTTTGGTTATTATGAAAGCAATGAAAAAACGAGAGGAGAAGCGCTCTTCCGGGCGAGAATGGTAAAATAAAGTCATGAAGAGAAAAGAAGGTGAAGAAAAGTGAAATTTATAATTCTTTCAGATATCGACAATCAATGCATTTAGAAAAATATTATGGTACTTCGAAGAGAGCCGAAATATCCTTAAAGAACGATATTCCAGGAAATATATTTTCGAAACCAACTGCACTGAGGAACAACGACAGGAACAAAAAGACGCCCTTCAAAGGGACGAAGAGCTGTTAGAGAAGAGTCAAGGAATGACGGTCGACAAAAGAGAGCTCGAAGAAGAAATGAAAAGACAACGACTCACGCTTGCAGCAGAAAAGAGGAAGAAATTTAAAATAGACGATGCAGCGAGAATGAAGCAGGAAAATAATGATAAAGAAGGAAGGAATGAATGTAAAATGAATGTAAAATGAATGTAATGTTACAAAAAATAAAACAAGTTATTGATATATTAATAGATCTATTTGTTTTGTTTTTTTCAATTATTATTCAATTTATTTACTAATTTTTTCAGCCCATTTCAACGCTCTATTTTTTGTAAAACGAGAGAAAAAATCATGAGAACATCGTCGCGAATATTAGCAGTGCAAATAAGATAATTGATAGAAAATAAAATAAAATAAAATAATGGAATATTCGAAGTTCATATCGAAGATTGAGTGACCGAGTTGAGAGAAAAAAAAAGAAGTTGACTGTGATTAACTTCATGACCGTGTGTATCTGTGAGTAAATATCGCACATTTATTCACGAACTGGAAAATGGATACGAGAGTGGAGTACCCTGATCTAATAACAAATGTGAGAGACGGAGTGCCCCAAACGTAAGCGAGGAAATTAAAAATTGACATGATAACATGAGATAGTATTTTTACAACGATAATTTTTTATAGATTGACAGGCATGGTGTTTGCCAATATTGGAGTGCAGAATATTAATGGGACAAGATTTTATGCTTTAGTCCTTTTCAACGGATATTTCGGAACAAGATCGAAATTACTGAAAATATTAATTTACGACGAAGATGTAATTGAGCTTCTTACGAATCGATTCCCGAGGGATGAAGTTAGTTAGATAATTGTTTTGAGTATTTGATTGAAAGAAAAAAACATATGTCTTATCGAACTATAATTTGATTTCAATAGTTGATCCAAATTCGGAACGCTATTCCATATGAAAGAAGAAAAGTTGCACTATGGAATACCATCTGGAATGAGAATGATTTTTTTGAATTCGAATGGGACGTGTATTCATCAGCACAGATCAGTCTGTTTTGGAAAATACGAATGAAATCGAGAGAAATAATTGAATCGGAGTAAAACCACATAATTTTACATATGAAATTTTTAAGAGGACGAAATGATTTTATATACTACGGTTGAAATAATAAAAATAAAAAATAGACGATGCACTTCTTCCCTTCGGAAGCTTATAACCAATGTAATTGGTAGCAGAAAAATGAAGACTTTTGACATAACAGTGTGGTGTCACAAGTCTTCTGTCGAATAGGGTCGGTCGCCTGCTTGTTTAACTTCCCGATAAGGAAGTTATTGTTTTCACCCCGAAAATGAAAATTGCTAATTTCATGAAATGTCGACGTTTCATGACCAGGAGAAGCTCCCCCGATGGTTTTTGGAATGATGTCTGTGTGTGTGTGTGTGTGTGTGTGTGTGTGTGGACCGTTTTTTTCGTTCCCGATCCCGGGCGCATGCGTGATGCGATCGAAGTGATCGAGGTCGTGATCGATAGATCATCACTCGGTCAACATTTTATCAGCATGGGAGCAAATTCCCCCCACCCCCCGCCGAGTTTTTTTTTCAAAAAAGGGTTTTCAGTAAGAATATCAACGTCTTTCATCGTATATTTCAAAGTCACATTTTTCGTAAATGCTCCCGGGCGATTCCGTAGCGTGATCAAAGTTTTTTCGATTGCGATCGATAGGTATCCGCCAGGTCGAGATCCTATATGAACGGGAGTGAAATCCCCCCGCCCCTTTTTGAATTTTACAAAAAATAAAGGTGAACCTTGGATTTTTTTGTTCACGCTCCCGAGCGCATGCGTGATGCGATCGAAGTGATCGAGGTCGTGATCGATAGAGAAAATTCCCCCTACTCCTCCGAGGTTTTTTTAAAGAAAGGGTTTCAATATGAATATTGACCCTTTCCTTTGTATTTCAAAAGTACATTTGCGACTAGAAAATAAGGAAAGAAGAAAAAAATGAGAAATATTCAATTTTTTTTTCTTAGATTTATTGCGTTTTATTTATTGCAACAGCTGTTCTTGTTGCTGTTGCTCCTGCAGTTGTTGCTGTTGCTCCAGCTGGTCCTGCATCAACTGCTGTTGCTGCTGTTGTTGGTGCTGACGACCACTCTCCAGCACTGGCGACATGTGCTCCATAATGGCCGCAATGTCCATTGGCTCAGCGAGCCGGTGTTGCTGCAATGGTTGCTGCAGCTCAGGATGCTCCAGTACCTCCTGTGGCTCCTGCCTCTCCAGTTGCTGCTGTTGCCTCGTTGGCCCTGGGGCGTCTCCTTCTCATGATCTTCGAAAATTAATTATTGTTATTATTATTATTGTTATTATTATTATTATTATTATTATTATTATTACTATTAAATCGAATATTACAAAAAACTGTTGAAAAAAGTATTTTTTTCATCAATTTTTTTTATTGTTTATCAATTTCATTTGATTATTCTAATTTAAGTTTTTTTTTGTTATTACGTATTTCTTTTTTTTTTCGTTTCATCGAACTGATGTGAAGTCGGAATAATTCTCATTATTAATAATGAAATCAATTTGAATCTTCCATGCCAATGTTTTTTCCACAAAAACTGAAATTTCAAGGGAATTTGATTAAAAATATTATATTTATGCACAACTGGACAGATTCAAATCTTCACATTTGAAGAAGTCATCAAAAATGCAACTTTGAAGGAAAAATTGATGAAAACTCCAAAATTTCCAAATATCATCATGAAAAGCAAATTAATGAATGCAGTTATCATAACCAACATTCACCTTGAACTTGCTGGTATCTAAAGGAACATTTTAATCTATTATTGAATCCATTTGATGCCTTATCTACGAAGACATCAATGAAATTGGGAAAAAAAAAACAAGCAGTTGACCGTGCCTATTCGAACGAAATTATTTGAGCCATCACTTCATGCATTCATTTTTTTTCATTTTTCATTTCTACCAATTTCATTGGTAGTAAGCTTCCGAATAGATCCGTAGTCATTTCATTGAAAATCGATTTTTGCAAATGCTAGCGAGCGAACAACGATTATTTCGAAAAACAGAAAATTGGAAATTGGAAAATTGGTCGTAAGGGTATATAGCTTTTGATTGATCTACATAGGGGGCTTCGAAATGAACATTTTGAAAAAAAAAAGTTAAATCGGCCCACTCGTTTTCGAGATATTTGCGAAACACGGCTGAAAAAGAAATCGCTTTTTCTCGAAAACTAGTCAACCGATCGAGCTGTTCTTGATCACAGGGTTAGTCCTTAATACGACCTATTATCTGTGAAAATTTTAATTTTTTTTGAATTTTTTTAGTCAATTTATTGTTCGATTTTCTAAAAGTTGATTCTGCAAAAGTGCCAAATTGGGGGTGACACATACAGACATGGTCCTCAAACTTCGTATTTTTCCATTTCAGACCATTCTACATCATTTCCAATGAAAATTAAGAAATGCGAAAATTGACCGATTACAATGCTTTTATTCGAAAGCAAAAAAAAGAACGAATTCTGAAAAAAATTGGAATAACAATTATTACCATCACCTTCATGTTCGAACTCGATCAAAGGTAGATGGGAACAATTCTTATCAGCCGTCATTTAATTCGTTTCGAACGTTTTTTTTAGCTATCGTGAAAAAAACAATATTTGAAATGAAAAAATTCAAAAATAGAAAAAATCAATGAATGAATTGAATTTTAATCAACGGTTATGGATAGGGCCCAATAATACCTACTATTGAGAAAAAAAATCAATTCCACCGATTCATTACCGAGCAATCGACGAAAATCGAAGAAAAAATTTCATACATACACACACACACACACACACACACATACGTACGTACGTTCGGACACGACTTAAAAATTGTATTTTTGGACTCGTTGCATCACATTGGGTTGATATTACATGAAAACTCAAAAATATTAAGAATTTTAAAAGAAAGGAAAAGAAAACGGAAAATCAATGGATAAGAACATGGAATTGTAATGTACTTACGGCTGAACCAACTCCCCATTTTTTGCGTGTCCTGAAATTTTTAAAAAGAGAACTCAATCAATCAAAATTTCCCCAAAAGAGACCCTTAATTAATAGCCGAATTTATTATAAACGTATTCCCACCACCTACTTTTACAATGATGTTTACCTCTCGAAATATTTGCCTAAAACTGATTTTTCACATACCTTGGCTTTTCACTGGCAGTATTTCAATATGACGCCATCTAGTATTTTTCACGAGATTATTCTAATAAATCTGTTGTGTACAAATCCTTAAGAAAATCACGTCATATTTTGTTTTGAATACCAGTTGATACTCAGAACTTTTAAGCCTCAGCGATCAGTCGGTGTGGATTGTGCGTCGAAAAATAAAGTAATAAGATAGAACCTTATCCTACGTCAAGGTAAGATGTTATTAATATTCGATTGTTTATTGTCCAAATAGTTTCAAGTGACAGTCAAAATTTTTCGAATTGCCAAAATTTTTACAATTTTCAAAACTTGTTATTTTACTTTTTTTTTTCACTGTTTATTTTACTGGATTTTAGGAGAAAATGTAGGAGTGTCTTTTTGTAGAACAGGAAATTTCCTACAAATATGTCTCATGGTATTTATCTCTGAGATTATCAGCTGTCGAGACGAAAGGTTAACGCTTTTCTCGACACGTTTTTTAAATTCAATTTACTATGAGCTTACGTTTTTTCGAAGCGACTTTATTCTGTTTTTGGATTTTTACAAGTTTCTTGAGAATGGTAATTTTGGTAGGGGCTAGCGAGGAGTTGGAGATTATTTCAGTTCTCAAGGAATAAGTTAAATTTTAAAACCAAAGAAAGTTGCTCTGATGAAAAATATGCTAGTAATTTTTTTAGAACACGTTACAAGAAAAACATTGAATGTTTAGTCGAGTTTCTGTAAAAAATCAAATTTCTTGTGAAATGTTGATTAATTTTCTAATGACCTCAATAATGCGAGAGACAGTCATTTGAAGATGATGATAATGAAACAATTGAATGAAAATTTTAGAATTATTTAAAATTTGAACCACTCAACAAATTTAATGAATAAATAAAAATTGGAAAATTTAAAAATTTGGAAAATTTGAAAAATTTTGAGTTTTAATTATTACGACAATAAATAATAGAGACTATTGCCAGAATTTAGGTGAATAAT